CCCTTGTGTCTCTAGATGTCCCTAGATATTTGATGTACCCCTGTGTGTCTAGATGTTTGGCCTACCCCTATGTCTCTAGACTCTAGAAGTTTGGCCTACCCTTGTCTCTATACGTTTGTATATGTGGGCGCGCAAAGACATGACTTTAAGGGTTGGCCCAACTTAAGAATTGAACTCGGTTTCTTTGTTTTCCCACCATTGTCGGTTTGAATCTGCTTTCATAGGTACTTTTCTTAAAGCACGGACACCAAAGCCCTGATAGATAACCAGCATTAAGATTTGATTTGTCACACAGTTGTCAGGATCGGACAATAAAGATTGTCAAGTTATTTTAAGCGGCCATAATAAATCCTACTTTTCCGAAGTAAAACTTTAATTTATCTTTTAATTCTTGAATTTTCGTGAGTCTCATATCCGGTCCCCGCGTTGTCTGTACGATTTTTATCTTTGTTTTGTTTCGAATATTTTGTGCTCCGGAATTTTAATTTTCAGGTTTGTTTCGGATTTTCATTTTTTTAACATCCACTATCTCGTAGGCTAAGCTGAGCCGGGTCAAAGATAGCCTGATTTTTATCTTTGTTTTGTTTCGGATATTTTGTGTTCCGGAATTTTAATTTTCATTTATGTTACGGATTTTCATTTTTTTCCACCCACTATCTCGTAGGCTAAGCTGGGCCGGGTCACACTCAGATAGGAGTTCGCACATTCTTGAGAGACACACAGGTAGCTACGAGATAAGTCAATTCTTGAAACATCCCCCTGTCTGCCGCTGTCTTATCAAGAGACCCCCCACCTGTCTCGCGCGAGTTATGGAAGCGGCTTATGTTATGTCTTGCCAAACAGGTTTTTCTCGTTGTGTTGTGTTTACGTTTACCCGGGGTCTTGACACAGAATAGATTATTTCGGGGACGATGATCCCTGTCTTTGATTAATGAGTTTTTTGTCCTTTTATATTGCTCTTTCGTTGATTTTAGTAAAAATCCTTCGCGTTTGTTTTTGCTGTTTATATCCGAAAAGGGCACCCGCCCAGTTAAAAAAAACTGTAGCATATATTCCGACGAGACAAACATGAATTTTCGAGAAGAGAAAAACACATATGTGAGGCAGCGTGGTGGAACCAGGCTCTCGTCAATTTTTGGGCATGTAAAGTTATTGGTAACATCTTAAAGCTTGTCCACTTGTCTTTATTTAGATGAAAAAAATATCCCTCTATCTTGAATACAAGTCGAGATATTTGCGAAAGAAGGAGGTGGGGGTCACCTGTTTCCAGAAGTAAAATTAGAGAGAAAATGGCCGTCAAAGGATAGTTATTTCCTTAGCTTAAGAGTCCGTGGTAACTAAAAATTTACATTTTTGGTGCCTTTAATCAACGTTTTTCAGAAAAATTCACACAGAAATTAGTTCTTTAATTGGCCTGAAAGGTGTTGAGCCAAAAAACAAA